TTAAGCCAAGGATGTAGAACATTTCATATTACAAATACAATACTCGTTTCTAATACAAATATAAATTACATAGTTATGACAGTAATTTACTGTCAACTACAGTATTATCACAAAAAAGCATACCGACTATTGCTTACATGTATTTATAATAGCTGAGAATTTGGCTGAGGTAAAGTCTTCTGTGGAGCAGGAGGAGTGAAATAGGAGACACTCTTTTTGTGTTAGCTTAAACTCCTTTGTGTGATTAAGACTTTTTATAGTGTGTGTGTTGGGGGGGAGGGGGGATTATTGAACAGCTGAATTCCAGTATAATAAATTCCTTTTTGATATTTACTGAGTTTAGTGTTTTGCATGTGAAGTTATATCTATGTCTTGTATTTACATTGTGGATATCTGAGTTTCAAATTTTTCGATGTTATCTGCTACAAATAATAACGAGCAAGAATTCATTGGCTAGTGGAAGAATATTAAATTTCTTAAACAGTTCCCTACATGACGCCTCCTTTAGTGTCTGCCATTATTCTAATTATTTTCTTTTGGATGTAAAATACTTTTTTGCTTTCTGTTGAGTTTCCCCAGAAAATAATTTCATATGGCATGATCAAATATTTGTAAGCGAAGTAAGTTAATTTTAAAGTTACCGTTTTCATGAGTTATATGAGTCATCGTAAAGAAGCATACTGAACTTAGTTTAGGGATAATGTAATGTATGCGTTTCTAACATTGATATGATTAAACACTAAAACAGAGAAAAAATTAAATACAAACTTGCAAAATCCTGGAGCTATATTAATTATATATATATATATATATATATTCACTTTTTTTCTAGTTACACAATAGACAATTTCTTCATTCATTTTAATTTAAATGTTGTTAACCACACAATATCATACTAAAGCTTATCATAATTTATAGTTCCAACATCTTTGCAGGCTGCTGGTTCATCAATGCAAGAGGTAGGTAGCTGTCTAAAAAGCATTCAGAATTTTTGGTGTATTTTCTCCTCCGAACATAGATTAATTATATAATTTACAGTATCTATGTTTTTTCTTTATAATATATACATAGATCGAATGAATTAAGACACTCAGTAAGGACATAGTAGCTGGTATATAGGCGCATGAGCTATTCTGGCTGTTAGCGCATAATAAGGACATAATTATAAAGTTTGCTATGCCATTTTTGATATTGTACATAAAGCGTACGTATAAAGGTCTATTTATATAGGAACGTAAAGATAATGACACGAGCCCTTGCCGATTTTTCAGAATATATTATTCAACATTTTTCAATGGAACTGTTTATATTGACTCCGAGCTCGTCCGTTCCACGAATGAGTCTCGCCCAACTTACGTCTCCAACGATATTTTTCCTAAATCTCTTTCAGTTCACTTCCACGTCTCGTTGTATGACAACGATCTTCTCACGTGAAGTGTTATGTAATTTACAGTGTTTTCTTTTGAATTGTTAATATTCTTAATTTTTGAAATGGATGACGAAAAACTGATAGAATTGGTAAGGCGAAATGGAGTTTTGTATGACATGATGCACCCAAAATACATGGATCCAAGCTTAAAAAATCAATCTGTAATGAAATTGGAAAGGAATTAAGTACAACAGGTAAAAAATACGTAGTTGTAAAGAATTTATTAAATTAAATGTTTGGTCATGATCCATTAATTCCCTATATATAATGAATTCTCCGCCACACAGGATTTATTTCTTCTTCTGTTACCATCCTCTTCTTCCAACAAAATTGCCATAATGGCTAAATCTTCAATGGAAAATGAAAACTGAGCTGCCATAGCCGAACGACTTCGATTCACTGATGTGGATGGCGAAGAGTTTTGTGCTCGGCCTCGTCCCGATTCCACGACGTGTATGTATAAATGGAGAGGCTTTTTTCTCGGGCTCGTGTCATTATCATTACGTTCATATATAAATAGACCTTAATGGCGAAGTTACGTGTCTCCATCCGTGTAAGATCGTCTCTGAAATTATTTGCCATGTTTTGATAGTTTTTTAACCACATTAACGTTGCCGTTAATTTGGTTCGCTCATCTGTGACGGTTGTAAAAGAAAATGACTTTATCATCTGTGGATAAGGTTTGTATTAATGGTGACATTTTATGTGATGGTGTGTTTGTACCGAGAAAGGTATGTACTTAAGAAATCTAGTTAGTTACTACAATATTATATGTTTGCATAGTATTGAGAAAAAATAGTGTAGGAAATAAATAAGTTTTAAAGTTACTGAAAAGAATCGAGTTCAACGTGCTTTATGCCGATGGCTGGTCATGATAGGATATTTTCCGTGATACAGCATCAGAACGTCCAGAAGCAATAAAATCAACGAATGTTATGTTATGCTCCATCCTTTAGCAAGCTAAGTAGGTGATCATTTGATGGTGTAAGATCAGGTCTATCCTACATACCGAGGTTTTTATTTGCTTTCCATGCCACAAAGCTAGTGTGGGACCTCTGCAGTGTTAATTGTTTACAAGTGTTCCTGTGATGGAATTAAAGGAGTGGTATGTAGAACCTGCACCAGCATTGCATCATGTTGGTGGTAACTATGGATTGTTTTGTTAATTGTATGGATTAAACTAATTTCTGTTCTGTACTGGAATTAATGGTTGCTAATCAAGGAGTTTGCCAGGGTTGTAGACTTTCCAGTAGTTTTTAATAACCATATATCCAGAAGATACTGGAAAGATTAGTATTTGTATTAAGTGGTTATAATTAGCAACACTTATATATTCTGTTGGCCAGATTCTAAAGTAAGAAGCAGAAAATTAATTGCTAAAACAGAGTATATTTGGAATAAATATTTACCACAGTAATGAGGAGAAAAATATTATTTTCCTTAAGAAAAAGGCAACTGAATGTGGCAATTTATTAGGTAACTACCAGCTTGATTTAAAATTTGATCTATTATTCTTTTGTCATAGCACCACCTGTGAATGAAGTTATTGTTGATCAATAGGATATCTTTGTTTTCCTTGTAATCATTAATTTTGATGGCCCTTGAGTATGACATGAATTCAGGAAAATCTGTTCAGAGTCAAGAAGGATGTTATTTATTTTAGACTAAGGAAGGATTCCCTTTGATGATCCATATTTAGTACATAACAGATTCACTGACTGTAGACTGAGAAAGAGTATCCAGTAATATCATGGGAATATTTTCTTTGGGCATTTTCTGGTCTGAAAGATATGCAGTGTTTTGAAAACTGGATCTCTATTCAGGTTGAAAGAATGGGAACTTACTCTGTGGGACCTGTTAAAGCTGTTTGAAATAATGGGCCTTATTTTGAAGGATAAACTTTGTCTTTGGTTAGAATAGAATAGATTAAATTTTATTTACATTCCACACATGCTTCATAGGTGTAAGCTAAGGATGTAGAACATGCCATAGCCCAAATACAATATATTTATTATATTATTGTGAATTATGTAGTTATGCTAGCAATTTACAGCCAACTACAGTATTACCACAAAATAATTACACAAGAAAGGATATCCACTATTGCTTACATATATTTATTATAATAGCTGAGAATGTGAGGAGTGAGATAGGAGATATTATTTTTGTGCTGGATAAAACTTCTTTATATCATGATTCAGACCTTTTATAGTAGGGGGGAAGATTATTGAACAGCTTAATTTTTGCATAGTAAATTCCATTTTGATAGCTTATATCTTAATTGCATCATGCTTGTGTTCCTCAATATAATAATTTTATTTTCCGTCCTTACACAAGCTTATAGATTGTTAAAATTACATAAAATTATAACATTTCAACATTTTTGATATTGTTACATTTTAAAATGACGACATGTTTCGATGTTCAATTCCATCATCGTCAGGTCTATCAATCAAAACATCGAAACATGTCGTCATTTTAAAATGTAACAATATCAAAAATGTTGAAATGTTATAATTTTATGTAATTTTAACAATCTATAAGCTTGTGTAAGGACGGAAAATAAAATTATTATATCCATTTTGATATTTACTGAGTTTAGTGTTTTGCATGTGAAGGGTATATCTATGTCTCATACTTACATTGTGGATGTCAGAGATTGTTTGAAATTTTTCCATATTATCTATGACAAATGATGATAACGAGAGCAAGAATTCACTGATTAGTACAAGAATATTAAATTTCTTCAACAATTCAATACACAAGGCTCTTTCTTTATTGTCTGTCATTATTCTAATTATTTCCTGTTCGATATAAAACACTTTTTGTTGTCTCTTGAGTTTCCCCAGAATATAATTCCATAGGACATGATCGAATGATAGTAAGCAAAGTAGACTGATTTTGAAGTTTATGCTTTCATGAGTAATTCATGCTGTTTTATTCTTTTTAAATCTGAGATTCATGTAACTTAAAATTCAAAATTTGTTATGCTATAAATATGTGCAGTGTTGTTATATAGTCATGACATCCCCTCATTTTGCTTTCCTTGTCTTCACAGATTCTTTAGAATAGAATAAATGTTGTAAGTATTTATTTTTGCAAATTGTTGATGTGGTATGTATGAATTTTCCTTCGTTAACTATAAGTAGTTGAGATCGATTCTTTTATCAAGAATTGGCACTAATGCTGCGTAACTCATCACATCTCATCTCTAGCTCTACAAACCAGTGTTGGTTGTGGCCGCTTCTTTTTGGAGGTTACTTGATCTATTTAGACATTTGGTAGGACTCCGTGGACGAGTGATCAGCCCATCGCAAGAATGCTGAGTAACTAGGGATCACAATTTTAAGTTGGGGCATGGGGTACTTGTTTGGCATGAGACCTATTAATTCTTTAAGCGCATGTAACATAAGGCTAAGGCATCATCTGAATTGAAAGGTTGGTGCGGAATCGTATTCGTTCTTATAGTAGAATGCAAGTACAGACCCCGTCCATCGTGCCTGACACATAATGTGCAATTTGTGCCCTCGTTTCATATTTGATAAAATTTGTTCCATAGGTGCCGATGGTCATGAATTTGGGAAGGCAAACTTCAGATTAGGCCGTTCTGTAATATGAACGCACAAAAGCTGGTGGCTCTTTAAAAGTGTTTCCGGTCCCTGCGTTATGAAAATTCAAGGTTCTGCAGAATCGTCATTGTATTTGGCAGCAGCACCAGTGGAAATCGTACACTGTGCAAACGCAGCGGATTCTACGTCGCTCCCTCGTCGCTTAGCGAAGCGTACTTCAGCCATTTTAAAATGGGTGTCAGAAGATTAGGTAGTTCGTTGTTTTTGATGCATAATAATCGTGCAGTTTGTTGGTAAGAATTGAGCATCATTAGCAGGCATTGTAGGTAGATAGTTTTATTTTAATTACGTTGATGTTACTTTTGAATTAAAGTATTGTTACATTGGAGAAATCACAATCGGATCGTTATAAAAACCGATCTTACGGCACGGACACTAATTTCATGTCACGTTTTCAAGTTCGAAGGGCAAGTCAGGGTTTCTAACGATGGTGCGTTATAATTTGTAAAAATTGTTTTTTTTAAAACTTTGTTCAGCTTCTAAATTACAAATAAAGTAACCATTTCGGAAGTTGGTTTCGGCTTCCGTCTTTAGGTAAAAAAGGAAGAGGACATAGTCCCCAATCATTTGGGGCCCCCTGGTTAAGTATATGTAGACTCACGTGTTGATGATATCATTAAAGGGTTGCTCTCTCAGAAAACACCCCAAAACTCTCTTTACATTCAGTTTGCCAAGTGTTGTATTCTTTCATCCCAGGCTACTGTTACTGATCTTATTTTTTCTCCTTTTGACAGTTTGTAGCAAAAATTTGACCATGCACTGCATGTCTTCTATAGTTGCCCCTTGGTAGTGATAACCGTTCCATTTTTCCTTGTTTTGTCTGTTTCTTGAAAATGAGTAACTGCATTTTGCTCACCACCTTCATGTAGTGGATAGAAAAGTAGCCCATCTGTAACGTTTTAAATAAAACGGCCACCTGTCGCTTGTTAACAGATAGTTTCGTAGGCAGACTTCTGTGGTTAATTGTAGAACCACTGTACAAGAAAGGGGACAAGTAAAATTAAATCAACTTGTGGACAAAGTTGTGCAACAGACCACGTGGAAAATTGCTGTTTTTGATATATTAAACAGTGAAGTAGATCTTGATTATTATTAATTCTTTGCACAAGGTGCTTAGCGAGAATGCGTTACAGGCTAGTTGTATCTGTCTATCTATTTGTGTAGTCAATTCAGCTCCACCACCTTTGGAGGATTTTAATGAAATTTGATGATGTGCTATTGTGCATGTCCTCAAAATTGTACTTATGAATATCCTATGAGTACTGGAAACAAATGACATATGAGGGAAGTCAAGAGGTAGGCATTGAGGTGTTGTATTCTGATTGCCAGAGTTGGAACTATCGAATAAAGCAGATTTAATACCACTGAATTCATATTGCAAAGTATCGAATAAAGCAGATTTAATACCACTAAATTCATGTTGCAAATAACACAGGAGTATATTATGTGTATTCTGGCGTGGATTACACTTTCTGAGCTTGTTTAATTTATGACCAGGGAACTCGGCCATCATTCATAGAGATAAAAAAGTCAAGTTGACCCAAAAAGTGATGAGCAATGTACCAAATGAAATCGTGCTTTGAGGGCAGTATAAGTATTTTCACTTTCATGATTATGCTCAGTGTTATAAACATATCAGAGTGCTTGAAGATTGAAGGACAATTTGATGTTTGAAAATTCCGTGTGGTGTATCGGAATTGTCTTGACATAGGAAGATAGCATTTCATAAGTATGACTTGCATCAAACCCAAGCGTTCATTTAATTAAAATCGAAGGTGGTCTTACACATTGCTGTGTTGTTGATATGGAATAGTCCCAAATTTAATTTGTTTTGAGTTTGATATTTTATTAAGCGGCCTATACTGACATTGGTGTGTCTTAGCTACTCTTTCTGTTTACTCGATTATGAACCCTCTTTTGATTAATGCACAACTTTAAGTGTGTTAAGTATATATCATGTGTTTGTTGCTTATTGTTGCAGTGTTTGCCATCTGTGACGAGCACTGAAAGTGCGTAGGTAAGTCTTCCATTGAAAAGGTCTTTCAAAAAATGGTTGGTATAATATATTCTCCATTTGCAATATTCTGTTCTGTTCATTTTAGAGTATTTGCTGATGTTCCACTTCGGCCCCATTATGTAGTGTGTGTGAAAATAAATTCCTGCAATGTGTAGATAGATGTTGCATATGAATATCCCTCAGTTTACAAATTTTTGCTGTAATGAATAATGCTTTCTTACTGATTCTTTATGATTATTATACATACAGTAATAAATGTCTTAATAAAAACATTTGTTAACATAAGCTCTGAACTTTATACTTTGACTACTGTCTAATATAAACATTTGATTTAACACTTCATTAGTGTTCTAAAGGGTTAAATAGGTAATAACTAACATGATAAATTATGCTTTTCTTATTTTTGTGATAGTATAGTATTCTAACAAGTGAGAAAAATATTTGATATTTTTTCTTGAAGTTGGGAAGCAATGTTTTGTATTGAAATGAATGGCATTTTCACATTTTATTTTCAAATTTTTGCCTTGCTAACATTCCTTATTGAACAAACTATATTTGGGAATTGATGGATGGGTGTGTTGTTTTATGCTCAAAATATTAGGAACAGATACAACAAAATTGTAATTTATTTTACAAACTCAGTACTTTTGGAATTATATGTATTATGAATGTCAAAGACGGCTGTCTCAGCAGATTTTCCAAAGATTTATTTTGCTTGTACGAGTGGTGGTTAAGATTTGTTCAATAGTTTGTATAAATTAAGTAGCTGTGTATTTCTTGAATGAATGTGGAAGGAATGGTTGAACCATTTGGCATGCTTGGGATAGGCAAGAGATAGACGCTCAATAACAAACCGTTTTTTATCTTTGTGAAAACTTCTGAGTTGTCTTGTCCCTTCAGACTGTCCATCCAAAATATTCTACACAATACCTTATCATGAAAGACCAGGTTTTACATGCACAAAACAGCAGGTAAAATTGTAGTGTTGTATTTTTTAATGTGAATGCATTATTGATTTGTTATTATTTCCAAATACTCTAACTTTGCCACAATTTAATCTTATTTATAATGTTTCATAATTTTGATAGAATTTGTATGTTGTTTTCTTATTTGGCAAGTGTGAAGCATACAAACATGAAACTTCCATATTCTGTTAATTTTTTCACCTGAAATTTAATCTTCAAAATTACAGTGATAGTTTATTACATATTAAAACGTTTAGGTGGATAAAATGCTCAGTGCTTAGTGTGTTGATAAGTGTATGACGTCTGGTGTAAAAAATCCTGCTTGTTCTCTTGATCAGATCAGTGGTAAAGTACAATGGTTTTCTTCATTCATTAAAAGCAAATTTAAAGGTATTGCAAACAGTAAAAATATAGTGCAAGCCATAAACAGAAAAAATGGTCTTTATGTATATCGATGTAATGAGACAAATTTCCACCTTTTGAACCTTAGCTGAATGTTGTGTAACATGGTCAGACTGCTTGGTATGGCCATGATGGAAGTCTTGACTATGCCCTGCCGAAAACATTTATCTCCGGTTTCAGTTCTGGATAGCAGTTCAAGTTGTGCAGTTGAGTCCACAGTCAAATGCACTTTCAATTAATAATAGAATCGCTATAAATTTCCTGGAATTGTGATGTTACACACACACACACACCAAGTTGGCAGCCAGTTACAGTACAATGTACCTGATGAAAAGATACGAGTTCTGTAGTAACATTCTGCTTCCAAAGATGTTTCTGCTTTCTGTTGGTCATCTGACAGATGTTGTTTAACTTAATATTGTGTAACTTGTGATGAGATAGAGCTGTTACTATTTCTTGCTTTGAAATTCCTGATGGACACTGGTTCATAAATTCATAGAAATGTGTTTCAGATACAAATGTATGTAATGTAACAGTTTTATGACATCACTAATACTAATAATTTGTAAACAACCAAGAAATGCCAAATAATGTAAACATCTGTATATGTTTTTGGTATCAGAGACCTTTTTTCTTTGAACTGCAGAATTCAATCTGTGGGCAGTCAACCTTCTGGTTACATAATTTGCTGTATGTGAAGTTTATTGACTAGCTCAGCAACTGTCAGCTTTTCAAGAAATATTTTGCCCCATGTAGTCAGTTGATACTCACCGCTGTGAACACCTCAAATCTTACACAGTTTTATTGAAGCTGTCATGCCATATTACTCAAATTAGTTTTTGTCCTCCATTGGAAAATTGTGTGTGTCTGCTAGTCACAGTCAAGACTGGATACAGCATTGCTTTCTAGTTGATCCTCGGCAACTAAAAGGATTTTCGATTTAACAAATTTCAGAGTATTGCGTATCCAAACGTCTTGGGATATTACGTGCATTATTTTAAAAGTTTCCAATTTGTGATTCAGGAGATCATAACAAATGCATGTTCAAAGAAAACAAAACTTTGACAGGATTGATAAAAATGTGAAAAAACTTAAAACCATGGAAGTAATTATAAAATTAATTTGCTTAGAATAGTTTGCTTTTCAGTTTCACATTCAGTAACATTATACTTGACAGAAGCAGGGGAAAATAAAACATGTTACTTATAAGAAGTAAAGTGAACAAGAAACTTAAAAAAGATGCAACTCTTGATTGTAATTGTTCGTGTGATGGTTAAAACTGCATTCTTACTGTCTGTTGTAGTCCAGGATGTTTAGTTCTTCACTGGAATCCTGATGAAGTTTGAAGGTCTGTAAAACTGTTTTCTTGGACTTGTCCACTGTCTAAATTATAAATCCAATTTTAAAAATTGTGTTTGCCACAGGTTAAGAACTCTGGCACTATTATTTCTGGGGCCAAGTAAACATTTGCCTTCAATCATCCTTTTTGCAGTGTCTTGTGGAAGGTCTCTGGTACCATTTAAGTTGCTGGTTCTTACAATCTGAGAAAGTGTAGGAAGACTTGACTGATGTCAGAAAATTTTAGTAAGTCTTTAAAAAAAGCTTTGGAGTTGTAAATAAATAACTCCCCCATTAACAAGTATCAAGAAGTAAATAAGGGAAAGGCTCATTGTATAATAGACAACAGCCATCTTTTACTGTGATGTACGACTGGAACTGGATTTGCTGCAACATTGAAAGAAAGATGCTGCATGAAGATCAACCAAGCACAGCTGGAGGAAGGCCATATCAAGGTAAAACATAAAATTTTATTTATGTGCGTGTTCTTGACTTTACTGATGCAATTTCAGAGCACAGTTTTGGGGTAAAGTTGTGCTGAAGCATCATATCTGGAAGGTATGTGAGTGGGCTATGTTAAAATTTAATTCTCAGCCTTT